AAAACCCAGACAGTTCCCAAGTCCAGAATTGAACTCGGTAGCCTTATTCCCATTAAAGATGAAGTTGTGCTAGACACCCCCAAACCTTCAAAAATAAGGTCGCTTTAAGCTCCATGCCTCTCAATTCACCACAACCTAAGCTCGGCTGCATAAACCTACAGAATCGCCAAAGCCAACATGAAACACAGGGAGCAACTATTGGTGAGATTTACCACTTATTCTCATCCAATAAGCTCAAGTATGAAACTCCCAAAGCATTCTTGCTTCAAGAAGAACTCAGCACTCCTTAAAGCAAGGGAGACAAGGGAAGACTAAAGTAAAAATACACAGCTAGAGCATAGCTAAAGATGAAAATTCAAAGGCATAGTCTCATAGGGGTCAATGTACCATAAACTGTAGTTCAAAAAGTTGTGAATCAGCTATACAACTCAAAACTAGAGAAGTTACATTTTCAAAATGAGCTCATAGTTACAAATTTTTGATCATATTTCAAAATAAAATCCTAAGTCTCTGAAGGTGGATTTGGGGAAGGGTTCTGTAGTTCAGAAGTTGAAGTTTCAGCAACGTGAGCAAATTGGGAGCCTGGGAGCTCGACAGAAAAAGTAGCTAGAAAATCTGAAACCTCCGCCAGAGAAGGGGATGGAACCTCGGTAGTCGATATCATTGTAGGTCCTGGAGCAGGTAGAGAAAGAGGAATCTCAGGAGTCGTTAAGGCAGGAATCTCGACCTCTGCTGGAGATAAGCTCAGGGCCAGTGCCTCGGAGACGAGGTCGGCTGAGAAGGAAGCAACCTCAGGAGCAGAAGGGAGAACATTGTTGAGCTCAGAGTCGACCACCTTGTCCTCAGCGCGGGGATCAAAATTGAAATCCAGTTCAGGGTAGATCTCTTCAACCCTGTCCTGAAAAGCAAGCCACGTAGAGGCCTACTGAGTTGTGACATCATCAGCCAGTTTGGTAATAAAGTAATCTTTTTCCTTGACAGTTGCCCTCGCCACCTCGAGTTTGTTCTGGAGGACGTCACTCATCTCTGTAATAATGTCATATTCTCTCTTCATAGTTTGCAAGGAACTTGAACCTTCGAGAGACTCCTGGCTAACTCTGAGCCAATCATCTGTTTTCTGCTTAAGTTCGCCTGAGGTTTTCCTGAGCTCTTCCTTTGTTTTCTTAAGTTCCTCTTTGCAGCTCTTTCCCTCGCGTGCAATCTTCTCCCTCACATCTTCCAGACTCCCATTTAAGGAGGTCTGCTTCTCCACCTGCTCCTGTAAGTCCTGCATCTGGGCCTTGAGGTCACTGTTCTCAAAGGACAATTCGGTAACCTTGAGTTCAAAAGCCTTGGAAGCTTTAACTGAACCTTCCATGGCTTGGATCCTCTTCAGTAGCCTGCTGACATGGAGGGTAATCTGAAAGTGAGAAAAGGTCAAATGAGAAGGAGCAAAATGAACAAAACATATATGCACATAAAACATAAAACTTACAGAGGTAGAAGTGAAAAGAGCGGTAGATATAGAGCTCCCAAGAGGTATGGTGGAAGCTCGCTGGATGTCAGATTCAGGGAGAATGGAAGCAATGGCCTCTGCAGCTCTTTTCACATTATCAATCAAAGAACTCGAACTTGCTTATGCATTCCCCCCTTTTTCATGCTTACGTATCCTAGGAGCCTTCTGAGGAGGCCCCACAGTTGGGCAAGAAGGGATGGCTCTAGGCAAAAGGTGAGAAACCGTCTCCAAAGGTTTCTCGACCTCACTTGAAGAAGGAAGGGTGGAGACCAAGCTTAGGTCAAGGACCTTACCAGAGGAGGGCAGTCTCGTCTTCTGAAGAAAGGAGCTCTTTGCAACCTCCGAAAAGCCAAAAGAGGATTGGGGCCCCATTTGAGTTACAGAAGACGGTTCCAGTCTCGGAGCTTTGACTTCGAAAATTGGATCACCCCCTGGGCTGACCTCAACCTTACGTTTGCTTCCAGCCCGAGTCTTCCTCATCATAGATAATTTATCAAAGCGATCCTTCGCAATAGGCTCCATTAAGGAAGAACCTGAAAAATAAAGAAAGAACCGTTAAAAAAAAAAAAAAAAGGAAGGAGAAGAGGTAAAAGGCAGGGGCAGAGGTGAAAGGGACAATACCTGCCAATTCCTCAACACTAATGGCAGAAATAGGAGATGGATTTTCTACCCTCACTTCAGGAGGACTAAACCCAAGCCTCACAAGGACTTGAGGTCAGATTAGCTCTGAATATCTCTCCAATTTGCAGTTCGCCAAGTTCCTTAGGACCTATTCGTCTGTGGCACTGAAGTCTGGCTGGATGCCTGAGAAACGAAACCAGCCAAACAAGGTTGGCCTAAGGGAAAGCTAGAACTTATTCCAACTTGCATAAAAAAAAACTCACCCAAGTTGTTAGGGGCAGACCACCCCCGAGGAACGGGAAGAGTGTCCGTCACGTCGGCAGGATTGAACTCCCATTCTCTCCCCCACACGAAAAAGAATAATTTTTTCCAACGTTTGTGGGAGCTTGGGAGATTAGAGATAAGAACCTTGGTTTTCACTCGTTTAGAGATGTACAAAAGCCATCAGTGGAGAGATATTTGACATTGAAGAATTTCATGAGCAAAGACACGGTGGGGACACCCAAATCATGTTTCTTAAAGAAGACAAGAAGACCAACCAGCACCCCCCAAAAGTTAGGAGAAAGTTGGGCAGGGCAGACATTGAAATGTTGCAAAACATTTTTGATGAAGGGATGCAGGGGAAAGCGAAGGTCGTTCTCAAAAGCAACCAGGAAGAAGCACATTTTTTTAGGGATAAAGGAATCATATAAGGTAAACATATCTGGACTCCAGAACTGGAGGCCTTGAGAAAACCCAAAGCGGGCAGCCAGCACCTTCATGTAAGAAGGAACGATGTCACTACACCCCACGAGCTCGGAGGCCCTGGGGGCAGCAACACCACCCTTAGCACTGCTTGAAATCCCCACGCCATTTACTTTGGTTTTGCCTTTGCTGGGAGATTTCAAGGCAGGAGGAGGCTCCTCAGTGCCTCTCTCGGCATTGACAGAATCCACTCTGTGAAAATCATCTATCTCTAACCCCACATCCCCCAGGTCGGAATCTTCCTCAACGGACTTATCTTTCATTAGCGAAACAGACGATCCCATGGCTTCAGAGGAAGCAGACATAGCTGGACAAGAATAAGGAAGCTTAAAAGACCTATAAAGAGGGGGGGACCTCAGAGAAACACTCTTTGAGAGCCCAAGGAGCAAGACACCGAAAACCAATGGCAAAAATCCTAACTGTGGAGTAAGGGTCCAAGAAGAGAGGAAGACGAGACAGGGGAATACTTCGGCTCCTAGAGTAGCAGAATCGAAAGGCCCAAAAATGCCAAAACCACCTCAGACTTGAGGGATCCAGGGCAAAGAAAGGTAAAACGTACCTAATCGCGAATTGGTGATGGATTAAAGCTCGAGGAGAGGATTCGAAACCAAATCACGCTAAGCCTCCAAGTCAAAATTGGGGAAACCGTCCCTCAGAGAAAACCCTAAAACCAGCGGCAGAATGGGGAAGATGAAGTCGTGAAAGGATAAGGAAGCTGAAAAGGATCTGTAAAGTGAGGAGCAAATCGGTGATCCAGGGGTATTTAAAGCTAACGGAACCGTGGGCCTCGAAACGGGCAACGTGCGCAAGGAACGAGAAAGGAAATGATTATTGACAACCGCTTTAAAAATAAAAAATAATAATAATAATAAATATATATTCCTGCATAAATTTTGAAGTCGATTAGGAAGTCATTACTGTTACATCCTAAGTTCAGCCTTTGCCCAAGCCAGCTCGGCCAAGAGCTGGGGGGCAACTGATGATACTCAGAATGATTCCCGAGCAGGAGCTCGAGAACGGAGGTCAAGAGCTCAGAAAGTCAGAGCTCAGAAAACCAGAGCTAGAGCTCCCATCAAGCGAGATAATAAGCTGAAGCAATGAGGAAGCAACTGGATACTACAAAGAACTTGACAGGCGGTTTGAAATAACACTCAAGGCACAAAATCCTCAACCAACCAGGATACTCTCCTAAGATCAAAGAGAATTCCTCGGATAGATGCAAGGATCACGGATCAGATCCCATAGATTAAGGGATACCCCTATAAATACTATATAACGCCCCCAACAGAGGAGTAGAACCCTAGTATCACATCTTACATTCTGTAAACCTTTTGGTATAGTAAATAGTGAAGGAGTAAGAATCTCCATTGAAGAGTGGATTAGCCGAGTTGGTGAACCACTATATTTCTACTGTGTTAATTTCCCAACTCCCCAATAATTCCCAGTATCATTCCCTCGAGTCTAGTAGCTCAGATCCAATAATTTTAATATTGTTTCTTTCATTTATTCGTCATCATAAAATTGCATCACGTTAGAATACACCATCAAATACAAATGAGGAACTTTACCAAATAGACACATTTAAAAGATTGATGATCAAAGAGACACTAAACACAAACTTTAGGGACTAAAAATATATTTTATCCTTCATGTTATGCATGACACCGAAAAAAAAAAACTATCAAAATGAAAGAAATATAAGAAGCATAAAAACATACAAATTTTTGTAAAGGGGCTCAAAAACCCAAGTCCGGGGGGGGGGGGGGAGAAGCAACAAAATCTTGCTATCAAAATAAAAATTACGAAGAGTTATCTGGAAACACAACAACCAAACATATACATCAAACTATCTCAATAGCATTGCTCTTTTTAAATACTCTTGTTTCTTAGCAGTAATTAAGCTTTCCAAAAGTACCATTAGTCTCGTATTTGAGTCAAATTTCTTAAACGTGTTTTCAATGTATTATGTTAGAACAGATAGGAGGAACAGAATACAAGGATTGACATTTTGAAATGCTTCAAAATGAGTAGGTTTACATTGCAAACATATCATTACCTAGAGTGACTTGAGTGTATTCTTATTGCTTGTTAAAAAGGCGAATCACCAATTTGTGCCAGCAACAACTAACTAACTTTTCCAATGTTAATGCAGTCGATAATGTTCCAGGGGTCTAACAAGGTTATCATCAGTGGCTTAAAATCACTCAACAGCCAGACAATTCACATTGCGATAGACCATTGCAACAACTTACTGATTAAGGATGTTAGAATTACAGCTCCCAGCGAGAGCCTCAACACCGACGGTATCAACGTGCAGGCCCCAAGTGGTGTTACAATCAGGAACAATACCATTAGGACAGGAGATGATTGCATAGCGATCGGCCCCGGCTCCAGGCTCTTGTGGATGGAGAAAATCGCATGTGGTCCTGGACATGGCATCAGGTAAACAACTTGTTCATAATTAGGTTAAGGCTTGTTTATGTTGATAAGGCAATCTTATAGGAACTTAATTCATTATAACAACTGAATTAGTTCTGAATTAACGGTGTTTCGTGCGATGCATAATATTTTTTTTATCTCTCATCATAGTCCTACCACCTCTGTCTATACCGTCACCCTCAATCTCACCGCCATCTCCACCCTTTACTGCAACCCCTCATCCCTACCTCCACCCCTTTGCAGCCAATCATCCCCACCTTCACCCCAACTCGAGTATTATTATTAGAGAATTAACCGTCCTTATTCAAATTTAAATTTGAAAAAAAACTGAATAAAAATAAACTCCAACCTTGGACTTAAACCAATACTAAATTAAGGGAGATTCAATTTTTTACTCAAATTAAGGCATATTCAAATATTTACTCAAATCTTCAATGGTCAGATTACACTCTTTTAAAAGATACAATGGTCATATTTCACCTTCCTTTAAACTTGAGTTTGTCCTACTTTAAATTTGAGTTTATCCATTAGAGTGCCTTATACCAAATCAAGCTTGTTTTTAACTCATTTTTTTTACTCAAATTTGAGTTTGAGTCAATCTTGGAGATGCCCTTTTTGTGTTAAATTGAGAATGAAAATTTTAAATTTAAAGTAGTTTTATGAGAATTGTCACATAAAACACCTGAAATTATTTAATTTGATGAGATCAATGCGTTGTTATTAAATAATTCAACATTATAAAAATTTAATACTTGTCGAAAGGTAGAGAAAAATATTTTATTTTTTTTTGGATAGAAACAACAGGGTATTTTCATTGCTCATAAAGAAAGAAATACATCATGTTGGATGAGAGGTGATAAAAATAAAAGACATTCCTCTCTCCATAAATAAGGATTCATACAATTTTTCACAAATTTAGCTAAATAATTTAGTCACTGCATTTCCATCTCTTCGAATCCATGAAACCAAAAACTCTTCAAATTCATTTCCATGACTAATTAATTTGATCAACATATTTGCCCATTTCAGATAAATCCGACATTCATCTAATCAAAGCATCTATAACCAATTTTAAATCACCTTCAATCACAACTTTCTTATAGCCTGTTTCAGTGGCTATCTTTATTGCAATAGATGCAACTAGAGCCTCCACATGAACAGGATAAAAGTAACATTCCAATCTCTAACTACCACACCAAATCTCGGAGTTCCAGCAGACACAAAACTTAGCACCGTCAAAATTTAATTTAAAAACCCCAGTCGAAGGATCAGACCACTTAACAATCTCTGAACTTGCAGTGTGTTGTTCCTTTGAATGAATCAACAGTCACACTATTCCAAAACTAGTGTAAGTATGTTTGAGCAAAATCGATCAGGCGTCATCATCAGTTCACCATATCGTACTCTGTTTCTATTGAACCATAGTGACCAGAGAAGAACAAAAAATAAACATTGTTGATCGGCTTATAGCTGACTTTGAATACCCAATACTAATTCCTTAAATATAACAGCATTCTCATAATAGTTTGTAAAACCAGAAATTTTCCAGACAGCCATGGCAACTGGACATTCAAAAAATATATAAGACATGGATTCATTTGGATCATTACATAATAAACAATAGGTGTCAACAGAAATTCACCTTTGCCGCAAATTGCTTTGAGTAGGCATAGTATCTCTAATGACTCTCTAGGAAAATATTTTGATCTTATTAGGAAGCCGAAGAGACCAAACGAAATATCCACCTTCAATTTGTTTAACACGGTAAAGACCACGATCCACGATCAAATGATAAGTGCATTTCTTTATTGATATTCAGGAACTAACTGTTGTGACTAAACAATAGTGTTATTTGGACCAAATTTGTTGATATAATTTGCCGATCTAATATATCACATCACAATTGGATTGATTATGGGTCCCAACAAGTACTAGGGTCCACTGTCAATTCAATGGTTATGAATAATTAGGTAATTAAGTTAATAAACTAAGTTCAAGTAGCATTATTCGTGCTTGCACGCCTGCCCAGGGACATAATGAATGTGTGCTAAAGTGAAGCTGAATCTGGTGGATTTTGTCCCTTTGAAATACAAGTAGATCAAAGCATAACAGAAGCAATAACTATAAAAAGCGTCCACTAAGCTTATTACTGAATACTATGTAGTAGCTCATGTTTGTGAAATTGTTGTCACTAAGTTAATGGTTTGGCTTCCACAGCATAGGAAGTCTGGGCCACAGTTTGCAGGAAGACGGCGTCTGGAACGTGACAGTCACTGGAGCTTTTTTTACCAAAACCCAAAATGGGGTACGGATTAAGTCATGGGGTAGGCCGAGCAGCCGCTATGATGGGACATTTTTGGAAGAAGACAGATCGACAACACGTGTTATCGGCATCGTTATGTTTTTAGCCAAGTATGGTCACGTATCCTCAGCGACAGTCATCCTCATCTGCCCAGGGGATAGTGCTCGGAGCCGAGGGATCCCCAATCGGCAAGATCAACACATATGTCCTCGGCTCAGTAAAAACCCTTGACACCGAGATAGACAAATATTCTTCGGTGCCGAGGTGTTCCTTTTGTACACTGGATCCCACCTCTCCCCTGCTTCTGCAAAAGCTAATGATTAACATATGGCTAGCCTAGGCCAAGCTAGGCTAATTATCATGAAGACGCTCTGCTCGATGGTGTCAGGAGGCACAAGAATGCAAAACATGTAACCAAGGAGGGGTGGACGCGTGGAATTTGATATCAAATCAATAGCAAAAAGACCTAGGTACCCCTATTGACACATGACTAGAGCAAGTATGCATTTAATGAATCATCCTCCTGATGAGACAGCAATTAAGGCATGGGGACCGAGAAGTGAAGTGCATTAAAGACCTCATACCTGGGCATTAAATGCATCCTCGCCGAGAAGGGGGAATTGAATGCTCGGCAGACCGAGGAGTGAGTTTTAAATGCTCGGCATTACGATCACTTAAAGCAAAGCCCATTCCGCATAAAAGTGAGAGGCACACTGCCCCATCTCTGACAAATACCTGTTAGATGGACTATCAACAATCATGAGCTTTTGAAGGTATAAATAGTTCTCAAAAATGCATTGCAAAGGTATACAAGAACTCCTGAAAAGAACCACAGTGTTTGCCTCTTCCCCTCTCTCAAAAAACTGACTTAATCGTCGAAGGGGGTACGCCGGAGAGCACTCCGGCACCCTTCTAACCTATTTTTCTGTGTCACAGGGTCCCCCCACAGTCTTTCAGGACCAGTCAGGCGACCCAACGAATAATTGATCACCAGTCCTTAGGGCCCCTTTGTCTCTCTCAACCTACTCTTTGTTGCCAAAATTCACTTTCGAATGGGTCAAATCTTTGCCAAAGGCGATCAGAAATCTTGAAAGCAAACCTTCCATTCCGCCGGAATTACTATCTTGTTGAACCACAGTTAATCGTGGAAGAGATCTATTCCTATTTCTACTATTATGCGAAAATTAACACGCACAATCTGGCACCGTCTATGAGAAACGATTAGTTTTTTCAAAGAACAGTGCCATGGTGAATACTCGACAGAAAGGAAGGGGTCCCCAGCAGAAGAACCTCGATTTACAAGCTCCTTTTAGTTCCAGAATGAAGGATCAAGTTGATGGTGTCGACAAGAATATCTCCTTCCAATCAAGGGGGCATACCCGCCAAACCAGTATGGGCATCAGATCAGGAGGATCCGCCCCATTGGCCCGTCAACTGGCAGAAATGATCGGGGAAAAATTTGGTGGTGGATTGCGGCAATTAGAAGAGGACAACGTGAACGTCCTCAGCCGTCTCAATGAATTTGCGGCTTTCGGCGAAGTATCCAGGGACTCGTTCCGTTCCCGAAAACCCTCCATCAGGGAAGTGGAAACAGAAGATTTGCGGAATCATCTGAACAATAAAGCAAAAGGTTTCAAGGCTCCGAAGCGTCCAAGAACCAAAAGGCATCCCCCAGGTGTCCAGGCCAAGAAGGCAAGGCCTTTGGCTTAGGATGACCTCCGTCGGGGATTATCCGGGCGAGGGGGCGTGGAGGAATCCGAGGGGTCAACCCTCTCCACTCGGCACCCAGGAAGAAAGCACCCCGTTGGCCCACACATGGACCTTGAAGGGGTTCCCCCCGAGTTGGGAGCCGACCTCAGAGCTCAGCTAGATGCCAGGAGGAGTAAGGCCATTCAGGAAGATGACACCGAAGACGAAACCATACAATCCCCCTTTACCAAGGACATTCGAGAGATGGAGGTGCCAAAAAAGTTTATAGTCCCAAGGTTCAAAACTTATAACGGGCGATCCTTTACCATTCAGACCAACGGCTTCTATGCCGAGTGTTCTCCATGAGTTTGGGAGACTTCGCTATGAAATGGTTCAAAACTCTCCCTCCCAACGGCATCGGATCATGGAAGGAGTTAACCAGGCAGTTCTCCGCCAATATGCCACACGTTATTGGGAGAGGTCAATGAGGTGGAGGAATGCTCAGAAGTCATGGCAGCCGCCTCTTTTAGGCTTGGCCTGGCAAGAGATACAAATCTGTACCGGTCATTAACCAAGAAGACCCCATCAGACATGGGTGAATTGATGGTCCGGATAAATAAGTATTCTCGGATCGAGGATGAAATGGGATGGGGCAAAGGTAGGGCCCACACCCCCAAGAAGAAAGACAGAGAGAAAGAGGACACCTCCAGGAAGAGATTGATACCTCCCTCCGTAAGCGCTTTTAAAGGAGTCCACATCGTGTTTAAGGAGCCTATTTATAGGCTGCTCCAAAAGATCTGGGGTGAGTCGTTCTTCAAATGGCCACCTAAAATGCAGAGTGATCCGTCCACCTGGAATTAGAATGTCAGGTGCTCCTATCATCGAGATGTCAGGCATCGTACCAAAAATTGTAGGGTGTACAAATATTTTTTGAAAAAGTTGATCCAGGACGGGCACCTTAAGAAATTCATTGAGCCAAAATCCGAAGAGGTTCGGGGCCCCAATAACCTGGCTGTTATCCAAGACAACATAATCGACGTGATTCACGTATGTCCACTAGAGCGTCCGACATCCAGGAACCTTGAGTCCGATCTCAAAAGAATGGCCTTCACAAGGAAGATGGCTGAAGAAGAAGAGGGCCAGCCCAGCAAGAGGGCCCGAATTGGCGAGCCCAACATTGCATTCTCTGACGCGGATCTTGCAGGCATAGTTACCCCCCATAACGACGCCTTGATATTAACACTGAAGATCAGCAACTTTGATGTTAAGAGAGTACTGGTAGACTTCGGGAGTTC